ATTTATTGTAGAGATGAGGTCTCGCTGCCCAGGCGGGTCTCGAACCCGCAGCCTCAGGCAGTCTACTCACCTCAGCCTCCCAAAGGCACGGGATTATAGGCTGAGCCACCGAGCCCAGCTATTTTTAAACTTTTGATTCATATTGTCTATGCCTCCCAAAAGGAATACTGTTTTCACTTCTGACATCAGGACTATACACATGTGCCACCATGCCTGGCTAACTTACTTATTTTTTGTAGAAATGGGTTCTTGCTGTGCTGCTGAGGCTGGTCTTGAACTCCTGGCCTCAAGCAATACTCCCACTTTGTTCTCCCAAAATGCCGGGATTACAGCTGTGAACTACTCCACCTGGCAGATGACTTTTTTTTGTTTTTTTTTTTGCGTTGGAATCTCACTCTTTCACCCAAGCTGAAGTGTTCACGACCCCTGCAGCCTCGACCTGCTGGGCTCCAGCGATCCTTTTGCCTCAGCCTTCCAAGTAGCTGGAATTATAGGTATGCACCACCATGCATGGCTAATTTGTTTTGATTTATTGTAAAGATGAGGTCTCACCAAGTTGCCCAGGCTGGTCTTGAACCCCTGGACTCAGGCAGTCCTCTCACCTCGGCCCCCCAAAAGTGCTGGGATTATAGGCTTGAGCCACTGCACCCGGCCCTACTTTTTTAATGGATATACAAAGTCTGCTAGTGCTGTATATTTTTGAATTTATTACAAGAATTTGATTTGTTTTAAGTTAATTTTACTTAAAATAATTCTTTTGAAGTTATATAAATTCTGATTACTCCTTGTTTCGTAGTTTATCTGGAGGAATGTGAACTGGCTAAACAACTTCATCCAAAGGAAAATGATTTGGTGTTTTTGGTTCCTGAGAGATTAAATGGAGAGAATAAAAAAAATACAGAGAGAAAACTCATGGAAGATCTCCATGAATATTATTGTGGCTATATTCATAAGTTTCGCCGCACTTCAGCCAGTAAGTAAATAATGAGGCATTGACAAGGAATCTTATCAGATGCAAGCTCATCTAAGTTCCTCTAAAGTGTGCTTTACCAGCCATGTATTTGGTATGCATTTACCAAACATGTTTTTGCTTTGTTGAATACTTGCTGTTTAGTCTCTTTCCTGGTTTTTCTAGTCTTACCTAGAAAACATCCTGTTTTTATTGCTATAGCCTTACGATTTAAAAGCTTTGTTTTGTCATGCCCTCTTTTGGTACATTCTTTCATCTGACATTGTATTTGCTATAAAACAGACCATTTACAAACCATCTGTTTGTTATCTAAGTCACATTCCAACCTTGGCTAATTAGTAATGAGAAGACCAGGCATAAAACTCATTGTAAGGCAGCTTGAGGAAACTACTGTTTATATCATTCTCATCTATGTATTGTAGGAACTTCTCTTCGTAAGGTAATATGATAGAAAAATATTAGCTTGAATTTAACGAATACCAGGCAGTGTGCCTTGTCTTTCTTATGCACATTCATAATTTTTCCCAAAGCCGCTGCAAGATAGTAGGCATTATTCCTTGCTCATCAGGAAGCCATGGCTTCAGGATGTTAAGTACCTATTCAAGGCTTTCATCAATGTTAAGTGATAAATTCAGAACTGAAACTTACTTTTGTTTGACTGCAAAGTCTACTTTCTTTATTTTATGCCACTCTGCCTTTTGACGTTTGCGACTTTCTTAGTCTTAGTTATGTGAAGGGAAGAGCATGATTTCATTATTCCTTCTCCTTTTTGCATCATATCTTAAGTACAATGAAGCTCCTTAGACTTCAGCATCATACTGCATTACAATAGGTGTGCCATGTCTATTAATGTGATCAGAACTTAATTCTGTAGAATATACTTAGAAGAGTTGGAACAGGAGTATATGGTTTAATCTGTGCTTTTGGCTCCTGAGAATATTACATTTGCCAGATTTAAAGTTCTAAGGCAATCTCCTTCCCTGAACTCCTCATGGATCAAAACTGTCTGACGTCTCCCATTTGGAGATCCTTGAGAATGTCAGCCTCACTAGGCCGAAAGGAACCCTTGATTTTCTACCTGACCTCTGCTCTTCCTTCACCTTTCCCGTTTGTGAGCAGGGTCTCTGTTCTTTTAGTTGCTCAGACCAAAAACCTTGGAGCCATCTGTGATCCTTACCTTCTCTTACACCCTACATCTAGTACGTCAGCAGATCCTAGTGAATCTTTGCAGTGTATCCAAAATCCCAGCCACCTCTACTGCTATACCTGGATTCAGGCACCCATTCATGTTGACCTAGATTATCACAGTACCTTTGTAAGTGATCTTTCTTCTGTACTTTTCCCATTGCGGCTTATTTTTTTTGTTCTGCAGCAAGAGTGGTTCTTTTGGTTCGGTGGCTCAGCCTGTAATCCCAGGACTTTGGGAGGCCGAGGTGAGTGGATTGCCTGAGCCCGCGGGTTCAAGACCCGCCTGGGCAACTTGGTGAGACCTCATCTCTACAATAAATAAAATTTTAAAAATTAGCCGGGCATGGTAGCACGCGCCTGTAGTTCCAGCTACTTGGAAGACTGAGGCGAAAGGATCACCAGAGCCCAGCAGGTTGAGGCTGCGGTGACCAGGAGCAGCCACAGCACTCTAGTCTGGGCGACAGAGTGAGACTCCAACTCAAAAAAAAAAAAGAAAAAGAGTGGTTCTTTTAATCTGTTGCTTCCCTACACAAAACTGCCCTGTAGCTTTCTGCCTGACTCTGAGTGGTCTTCTGTCCTCACCACGATCCATAAGGTTCCGTTTGACTCTGCTGACTCGCCTAGTACTCTCTCCCTGCTCTTCCATTCAACCATGTTAGCCTTCTCCCAATTTCTGAAACACTTCTGACATATCTCTGCCTCATGCTTTTGCAGGTGCTGATTCTCTGCCTGTAGCACTCATTCTTCCTGCTGAGGGCATAGCTTACTCCCTTATTTCAGGTCTTTGCCCACACATCTCATCATGAGATCCTTCCCTGAGCCACCTCCTGCGTCCATCCCCATCACTTCCTCCCCTTCTTTGCTCTCCTCATGGCACTTACCACACCTGACATAATACTTAGTTATCTGCCTCCCTCTTCAAGAAGATAAGCCTCTAGAGGACAGGACATTGCCTGGTCTAGGAAGCCTTGAGCAAATATTTATTGAGTGAATTATTTAAATAATGTACAAAAAGCGTTTTATAAAATACCTGATTCTGAATAACCTTTTTTTTTTTGAGTTGGAGTCTCACTGTCGCCCAGACTGGAGTGCAGTGGCCACTCCCAGCCACCACAGCCTTGACCTGCTGGGCTCTGGCGATCCTTCCGCCTCAGCCTTCTGAGTAGCCGGAATTACAGATGTGCACTACCACGCCCGGCTAATTTTTCTTTTGATTTATTGTAGAGATGAGGTCTCGCCTGCCCAGGCGGGTCTCTAACCCGCGGGCTCAGGCAATCCACTCACCTCAGCCTCCCCAAAGACGCGGGATTACAGGCTGAACCACCAAGCCCGGCTTGAATAACCTTTTTTTTTTTTTTTTTTTTTTTTAATGAGTTGGAGTCTCACTCTGTCACCCAGACTGGAGTGCAATGGCCGCTCCGGCCACCGCAGCCTCGACCTGCTGGGCTCCGGCGATCCTTCCGCCTCAGCCTTCCAAGTAGCCGGAATTACAGGCATGCGCTACCACGCCCGGCTGATTTTTTGATTTATTGTAGAGATGAGGTCTCGCTGCCCAGGCGGGTCTCGAACCCGCGGGCTCAGGCAATTCACTCACCTCAGCCTCCCAAAGGCGCGGGACTACAGGCTGAGCCACCGAGCCCGGCTTTGAATAACCTTTTTAACTGGACAACATTATTCAGTGGTAACTGAAGTGCTTTTTTTTTCTTTTTGTTAATAGTGCGTAATGGAAAAGCTGAGTGTTTCCTTTCCATCCAGACTCAAGATAACTTGCCAGCCAATTTAAACCAACTTGTAGCATGTATTGTCATCAGTTCTCTAGTGACTACACAAAGGAAGCTTAAAGCCATGTCTCTGTTGAGTGGTCGGAACCAACTGGCTAGAGCTATTCTGAATCCAAACCCCATGGACTTCTGTACAAAAGATTTACTAACTACGGTACCTGAGAAAGTTGTAAGTGATGAGTATATGATATTAGAAAATGTCTTGTCAGGTTGTTCAAGCATCATGTTTTTAGCTACTGCATGCTCCTGTATGTCTACAACAAAGACATGTTCACTGTGAATGCATAGTTTAGTGCTTAATATTTAATCTTTATATTTAATCTTTAATATTGCAAAGTTTATAATTGGATTCATTAGCTTACCTCAGGAAAAGGCACAGTACAGTAATGAGGTGAAGGCATGCTGGAGGGGCAGCATGAAAATGTTAGATCAGCAGCCTACTTAAATGTTCATTAGGTGGTAAAATTCAGGGATTGAGTCTCAGGTTTAGTGGTGTGAAATTTGCTTCTGACTTATGGACAATTGACTGGTGGTGTTGCCAGTGCCAAGATGAGGCTGTCGACTTGTGCAAGCATAAGTTTTTCACTTTAAGAGCTGTGTATAAATTCTAGGAAATTAACACAGAGAAATGCAAAAGGAGACTAATTTTTTTGAACCACTATTATGTGCTGGGGCTTTCATGTCCATTATCTCAGTCAGTTTTCACCTTTTAAGGCATCTTAGATTTAATGAGTAAACAGAGGCCAAGGTTCAGAGGGGTTAGGAGTTTAGTAACCTTGCTTGTAAGTGAAACCGAAGCTTAGACTCAGATGTGACGCTTAGATCCATTGCTTTTTCCACTGTATCACATTATGTTAGGAAAGAAATAGTCTTGGAATGTTTTTACTGTCTAAGGGGAGTATTAACTAAAATGGAAAGAAACAAAAAGTAGAAGAAAGGTATAGATTTGTAAGTGCAGTTTAATCATCTTTGTAAGAATCAAAAACAAAAATACAGTTGTGATATTTGTGAGTATTTGAAGCCTGTAGATACTAATAAGTAAGTAATTGGCTTTTTTTCCTGTAGTGACAGTGGTTTTTACATTAAAGCTCATTTTGGTGTCTTGCCTATATAACCAAAGCTTTTGTCTGATGCACTGGAAGAAATTTGAATACATCTTTTTTTATTTTCTTCCTCTCATATGCTACTACAGAAAAAACAAACTCATTCTTATAAATATCTTTTTAAATAGACTGTCTACTTTAAAGAGTTCAACGAAGACCAGAAGAAAGCAATAGAAACTGCATATGCCATGGTGAAGCACTCACCTTCCGTTGCCAAAATCTGTCTGATTCATGGACCACCTGGAACAGGAAAGTCAAAAACGATTGTTGGCCTCCTGCACCGCTTACTGACAGAGGTAGGGATGAGTGAGGCTGAGGGATGAATTATTGGATTAACTGGCATGTCAGTGAGCATTATAGTACCTTTTCCCTTTCAGTATGTTTTTTATAGTCTATGGAACTATATCAGAGAAAGGGGTAGCAGAGGGAGGGAGGGTTATAAGAAGTAAAACAAGTAGAAAACACTGTCTTCTGTGAAACAAATCTAGAGTAGAATGGTGTCTTCGGGCTTCAGTATAGGCCATATCTCATGAGAGGAAACCATCTTGAGTGTATTCCTGGGCTACCTTTTGGGTAGACTGAGTATCAGTTAAAACAAGTCAATGGTAAAATAAGGCTCAGTGCAGTTATGCTGACATTTTATGCCAGAATAATTTTAATATCAGTGTAAGATGTCTGTGCTTTATTATTTTTTTAATGTTATTACAGTAATTTTCAGACCTACTTTAAAGAAAAACTAAACTTTGTAATGGGGCTCATCACTATGTTTTGTGTTTATGTGTTTGGTTCATGTGTGTGGCAAATTGTAGAACCAGAAGAGGGGGCATGCAGGTGAAAACTCCAATGCCAAAATCAAACAGAACCGGGTCCTCGTGTGCGCACCCTCCAACGCAGCTGTTGATGAACTTATGAAAAAAATTATCCTCGAATTCAAAGAAAAATGTAAAGACAAGAAGAATCCTATGGGTATGACACTTATGTGGGTTTTTAATTTGTTTTTGTTTTCAGTGTTTAGTGTGGGCGTCTTTGAATGACAAAGAACAAGCCAGTCCCAATAATAACTTCTCCCTGGGTTTGTGACTTGTTAATTCACTTAGCAAGTATTTCAGTGGAGCATTTACCTTGTGCCACGTACTGAGGTTTCAGCAAAGTGACATACAGCCTAGTGAAGAGGTGGACCGGCCAGTGGGCCATTCTTATATACAGTGATAAATTCTATAGTAGGGCTAATATTTGGGGTGTTTTCAGACCCCTCAGAGGGACCCTGATTTAGTCATGTGAGGATCAGGAAAGGCTTTGGAGGAAATGATGCCTGAGGAGATGAAACCTGAAGAGCAGTATGGAGGTAGCTATGGGAAGTGGGGTTGTGGGGGGGAGACCAGGATAAGAAAACCTCAGATGGTTCAGTATCACTAGATACAGCAAGTTCCACAAAGGCAGCCGTTTTGATGTGTTTACTGCTGTCCCCAGTGCCTAGGACAGCGCCTGGCTTTCAGTTGATGCTCAGTAGCAATTGAATGACTGAAAAGCTAGAGCATGAGGGGGTGGTGAAAGACGAGGCTTTCAGTAAGCACAGGTTTATTGAAAACAGTAGACCGGGCTCAGTGGCTCAGCCTGTAATCCTAGCACTTTGGGAGGCCGAGGTGAGTGGATTGCCTGAGCCTTTGGGTTCGAGATCAGCCTGGGCAACTTGGCGAGACCTCGTCTCTACAATAAATCAAAAAATAAGCCGGACATGGTAGCGTACGCCTGTAGTTCCAGCTTACTTGGAAGGCTGAGGCGGAAGGATCGCCAGAGCCCAGCAGGTCGACGCTGGGGCAGCCGTGAGCATGCCACTATACTCCAGCCTGGGCAACAGAGTGAGACTCCAACTCAAACAAAAAAAGAAAACATTAAAAACAATCTTTTATAGTTACTGAGTGTGACGTAAGTCGGTAATCCCCAAAATACTCCTGTGAACTGGGTATTAACCCTACTGTCTACATTTTATAAGTAGGTGAAACTGACACTTAGAGATGTTAAATATCCTGCCAGAGTAACTTTTCAGAAGAATTCACATAATCATGAAGAGATTATCACAGATGATTCAGCACACTTCCTTTAGTGAAGGTGTACAGTTATTTCTGTTTGCTTTACCTTAACACTTACTCTTCATACCACTCATTTTGAGTGGCATAGTTATGGCTTTGGATTGGACGGCTTCCCCAGGCTCAGAAGTCTTACCTTCCCTATCAAGTTTTATTTTCCTTAAAGATACCTGACAGTGCCTTTCATCTGTTAGGATTAGATTTAGCTGTAAGTAAAAGACTCTAAATACAGTGGCTTATATGTGATAGAAGTTTATTTCTTTTTACTCAAAAGCCTGGAGGTGAGCAGTTTTAGGACTGTTCCCAGAGTGATTGGTTTGGTGACTGCTTTTGAAAGTCTTTGGAGACCCAGGCTCCTTCAGTCTTGTGGCTCCACTGTGTATGGCCTCCATTCCTTAGCGTGCCTCATGGTTGGGGACAGAGTTACAGCTCCAGCAAGTGTGGAGTAAAGATGAAAAGGGTCAGAGGGAACAGAAAAGCCATATTTTTTTTTTTTTTTGAGTCGGAGTCTCACTCTGTCGCCTAGGCTGGAGGGCAATGGCACACTCACAGCCACCACAGCCTCGACCTGCCACCTGCTGGGCTTAGGCAATCCTTCAGCCGCAGCTTTCCAAGTAGCCAGAACCACAAGCATGCGCTACCACATTCAGCTAATTTTTTAATTTATTGTAGAGAGGAGGGCTCGCCAAGTTGCCTGGGCTGGTTTTGAACCCTCGGGCTTAAGCAGTCCACTCGCCTCGCCCTTCCAAAGTGCTGGGATTATAGGCTCAGCCACTGAGCCTGGCCTGACTAGCCATATTTTAAGGGAGGTTCCTAGGTATTGCCAACAGCACTTCTACTTATTTCCTCTTGACCACACCCAGTTGCAAGAGAGGCTGGGAAGAGGTATCTTTGCTCTGAGGGTCACACACGTTTTTCCTTTTACTGCATATGCACTGCCTACTTGTAGAATTCATTTGCGCTTGAGGTTTAAAATCCATTGTCAGTCTGCAACTTTTCTACTTGCCATTGTGTTTGTGAGATTGCTGATTTTATGTCTAGCTACAGTTGCTCATTTTTTTCTTTCTTTTTTTTTTGAGTTGGAGTCTCACACTGTCACCCAGACTGGAGTGCAGTGGCTGCTCCTGGCCACTGCAGCCTCGACCTGCCGGGCTCCAGCGATCCTTCCACCTCAGCCTTCCAAGTAGCTGGAACTACGGGCGTGTACTACCACGCCCAGCTAATTTTTGATTTATTGTAGAGATGAGGTCTCGCCAAGTTGCCCAGGCGGGTCCCAAACCCGCGAGCTCAGGCAATCCACTCACCTCAGCCTCCCAAAGCACTGGGATTACAGGCTGAGCCACTAAGCCCCGCTTACAGTTGCTCATATTAATTGCTGCAGGGTGTTTCACTGTGTGCATGCACAATTTATCCTTGATAATTTTGATTTTTTTCCTTTTTTTGTTGTTATTTTAAACTGTATTCTAATAGACATTCTTATACTTTTGTGTATTTCTCCAGTACAGGTATAAAAATGTTTATTGCTGTGGGTAAGTGAGCTGTACTGTGTAATACTAAACAATGATTAAAAGGAGTACACTAAAGCACAGCATTCTTAATCATGCCTCTTGCACATATGTGCAACTTTCTGGGGCAGTGCTTTTTTGTATTGTTATTTTTGACAGGGTCTTGCTCTGTCAATCAGGTGAGACTCAACTCAAAAAAAAAAAAAAAAGTCTTTGTCTAGTTTCGGTATTGAAGTTCCATAGACTTTTAAAAATGAGTTGAGGAGAATTTTTCTGTTTATTCTTTGGAATGTTTTGTATAAAACAGATGATCTGTTCCTTGAAGGTTAATTTGTTGTTATTAGTTTGTTTTATTTTGTATTTTTTTGTCTATTTTTTGACAGAATGAATAAATTTTTATCCATTGTTTAAATATCACTTATGCTTTTAGGTCTGATCAGATTTTCTAGTTTCGCTAATTCATATTTTTCCAGAAAAATTTCTGTTTCAACTAAGGTTTTTTATTTTTTTATTTTTTTTTTAGTTTATTTTTATTTTTTTTTGAGTTAGAGTCTCACTCTGTCTCCCAGACTGGAGTGCAGTGGCACACTCCTGGCCACCGCAGCCTCAACCTACTGGGCTCCAGCAGTCCTTCCGCCTCAGCGTTCCAAGTAGCTGGAACTACAGGTGTGCACTATCACACCCGGCTTATTTTTTGATTGATTGTAGAGATGAGGTCTCACCAAGTTGCCCAGGCGGGTCTCGAACCCGCGGGCTCAGGCACCTTGGCCTCCCAAACATGGGATTACAGGCTGAGCCACCGAGCCCGGCCCAACTAAGGTTTTTTAATATATTGGTATAAAATTTCTCATAGTATTCTATTTAAAATCTCAACTGCATCTGGTCGGGACCCCTTCATCATCTGCTGTATTGTGTTGATTCTCTAAATCCACATGTGGAGCAGGCCTGGGGTTAGAAAGCACAAGGAGAGAATCTGTCCCCAGCTGAGCCCAGGCCTAGATTGATACACTTGTTTCCATCCCCCTCTTCCATTCCCCTTGACTTTCTGGTGGACATTATTACAGTCTAAGCCCCTTTTACAGAAATTTCTGTATTCTTATTGGAATGGTAGTGTTACCAATATAGACATTTGCCAAACTCCTAGATTTAAAGGTTTTGTAATCTCTTCATTTTAGTGACTGTAAAGTAGACTCTTTTTTTAGATTGAAAAATATAGTTTATAGCTGGGCTCGGTGGCTCAGCCTGTAATCCCGCGCCTTTGGGAGGCTGAGGTGAGTGGATTGCCTGAGCCCGCGGGTTCGAGACCCGCCTGGGCAGCGAGACCTCATCTCTACAATAAATCAAAAAGTCAGCCAGGCGTGGTAGCACGCGCCTATAATTCCGGCTACTTGGAAGGCTGAGGCAAAAGGATCGCCCAGCAGGTCGAAGCTGCGGTGGCCAGGAGCGGCCACTGC